GGACCCCAATTCCCTTAACCCTGTACTTCTGAATCAGTCTTAGCCTTGTGCCTTTTTCTTCCTTCTTAATCTGCATTATAAGTAACCTCATCGCAAAGGAACATTTAAATCATATCTATTTATATTTGGTTAATACGCTACCACTGATATTTTTTTCATGAAATTTTTTCCATATACATAGAAGTGAATATATTTCTATTGCTATTATTTCTTTTTTCTTATTGTTAACATTTTACCGTTAATCTTAGATTTAGAAAAAATTTATTTCTTGCCCTTTAATACATTCTAATCTTGTTTCACTAAGATAGGAATCAATACAAGTCCGCATAGATACCTCATCTGAAATTTAGTTCCTGTGGATATTAATTGTTATCTAAGTACTAAAATAGTAACCACCTTCCGGTTGGTTTCCAGATGTACTTATTATTAAAGAAAACTTTTGTTTCCTTATCTCACTTAGTCTAGATATTGGACATAAGTAAAAATTTTTTTATAAGATTTTATTGGGGAATTGGGGGAGGGGAACAGCACTGGGGAATCAGGGGAAGGGGAACAGACAATTTGCTGTCTTATTTGTTCTTCAGTCTAGTTGTGGAGGACGTTGCTTTACTGGCCCATGTTGGCACCATCATTGCGCTCTTCCCAGGCGAGGCAGATCAGTCGCAGGCCTCTGGACGGCCGCTCACAGCGGCTCTTGGCAGCTCACACTGGCTGCCAGCCACACGTGGTAGCTCCCGGCAGCCCACTGCAGCAGAGGCTGCAGCCTACGCCGTCGCCCGTGACTCATGGCAGCCCAGCTCCAGGTCGAGCTGTTGTTCACCATCTTAGCTGTAGAGGGCAGTGTCACTGGCCCCCACGTGGAATCCGAACCAGGGTCCTGCTGCTCAGAGCTGGCATCCCAAGCCAGCTCTTAACCAGCGCGCCACTTGGCGGGCCCAATTTTATTTCTTAAAGGAGAAGTTAGAGATATTTTTGTGATTTTTTTTTTACAGATAAATTTGTCATTTAATATGGAAATACTGAAACATTCTGAGTTTTTTCCATTTTTTTTCCTATTTTCAGTGGAATACACTTTATTTTTGGCCCTACATAAATTCTTCGTGGTGAGTAATTGTTTGTTCATGTGTACCATGGATAGCTGGCAGGTCCACTTAAGATGCTGTCAGAGCAGACTTTGGCTAAATATGAGTCAGATCAAAGGGCCAGAGCTCTAGTCTTTTGAACAGCATTTAGAACTGTTAGAAAGAGAATTACCTATTCTGTACTTTTTAGAGACTTTTCTTTTTTTATTTTTATTGGGGAATCGGGCAAGGGGAACAGACAAGTTGCTGTCCTTTTTGTTCTTCAGTCTAGTTGTGGAGGACGTCGCTTCACTGGCCCATGTTGGTCGTATTATCATTGCACTCTTCCTGGGTGAGGCAGTCGCTTGCCGGCCATTGGATGGCTGTTCATGGCGGCTCATGGTAGCTTATGGCAGCCCACTGCAGCTCCACTGTAGCCTACACTGTAGCCAGTGACTCACGGCTGCCCAGCTCCAGGTTGAGCTGTTGTTCACTGTCTTAGCTGTGGAGGGCGCAGCATCATTGGCCCTCATGTGGGGTCCGAACCGGGGCCCTGCTGCTCAGAGCTGACGTCCCAAGCCAACTCCTAACAAACGCGCCACTCGGCCTGCCGTTTAGAGACTTTTCTTCATTGATTTTAACACTTGAAGTTAATTCAACTAAGGGGCATTTTGTATTATACATCTCATTTTAAAAGATAGTTTTAGTTGTTCCGAAGCTAGTTAACTCTTACTGATTTATTATAGCCTCTCTGAGAAGTGGGGAAAGAAGCATTTATTATTGAATTTTACTTCTCTGAATTAGAAAAAAATTCTAACTTTGTAGTGAATAGTAGTTGAAGGAGATTAAAAAATGTTTCTGAATTAAATGTTATCTTTAAAAATATGTACAGTAGTCCCCCCTCATCTGCAATTTCGCTTTTCGCAGTTTCACTTACCCATAGTCAACCAACCACAGTCTGAAAATATTAAGTGGAAAATTCTATAAATAAGCCATTCATAAGTGTTACATTGTGCATTATTCTGAGTAGCGTGATGAAATCTCACACAGTTCCCCTGCATCCCACCCAGACATGAATCGTCTTTTTTTCATCATAACCACGTTGCATGTGCTACCCACCTGTTAGTCACTTAGTAGCTGTCTTGGTTATCAGCACTGTCCTGATATGGCAGTGCTTGTGTTTAGGTAACCCTTATTTTACTTAATGATGGCCCCAGAGTGCAAGAGGGGTGATGCTGGCAATTTGGATTTGGCAATGAGAAGCTGTGAAGTGCTTCCTTTAAGTGAAAAGGTATGTATGTATGGGAAAAAACCTAGTATATATATAGGGTTCGCTACTATCCAAGGTTTCAGGCATCCCCTGAGGGTCTTGGAGTGTATCCCCTGTGGATAAGGGGGGATTACTGTATACAATGTATCTAACTTCTAAATTATATAGCTAGGATTTGGAGCCTCTAAAAATGTTTCACAGCGTGGTTAGAAAAGAATAGTTCTGAGATGTGGTCTCATAAACATATGCCTTTGTTTTATATTGTATGTAGTAATAGTGAAGCTTGTAAGAATTAAAATTCTGGGTTGGGTGATTAAAATACCATACATTTCTACTGGGAATTCTACATTATCGAATTAAAACTGTCTTTTAAAAATTAATTTAAACAAACCCCTGACCAATTCTAGGTTAAGTAGGATACATTTTCTGTATCCAAAATTTAAATGTAAAGTCAATGTAAAATATATATTTGTAAGAATGTATATCTTAGGCTTTATTGACCAAGAATGATGGTAGCATTCAACTTGTAGTTATGATTTAAAGTAGAACTATTGCTATAGATTCATAATAACTCCAGAGTTACTTCATATTTAGACTGAATGTTGAATGATATGAAGCCTATAAAATGTTTAACATCAGAAAATTGCAGTCTCAATTCTGCACTAAGCTGTATGGTTGGTGCATAGTGATATAAGTGAAGTGCCCTCTAAAGAACTTAGAGATGGATTGGGGATACAATTATTTTTCTGTGAGTTTAATTAGTAAAAGCCATTCCTTTGCTAGTAAGAATTATCTGAAGATTTGGGGAATGCTAAAATCGCTAATCGTTGTGCTCTAGGAGTAATCTCAGGGAGACAGTTCTGAAATGTGATTAGAATTTAATGAGTGGAAATATCATTAATTTTACTGTATCCTCTTTTGGACAAAGTCTATGAACAGGAGAGTGGTACGCTCAGAAGATAGCAAAGGAAAACCCAAAGCATGAGCAATTGTGCGGCTGACCTGTTGGGAGAGAGATTTGCGATTTCTCTGTTTCCTGAGGCAGGCATGTCTTTACAGTGGAGATGGATGTGTAAGATTAGCTTAGTCTGATATCATTAAATATTTTAGTCATATAATTACCGTCCCATGCACTGTCCCTTGTTTACCCTACCACCTTCTCTTTCTAAGAAAATGTATTTATCTGATGTGAGTGTTCTAGCCTGCTAGACATTTGCACTTCTCATTATGAAGAAATAAATTGACAAAATAGTAAACAAATTGAAAAAAATTAATCTGTGTGCATACACCTAGGTGTTTATGTTTCTGTGAGCTTGGTTAAAGTTAGTTGGTCTTGTGAGAGAGATATGCTTACAGTCTGTTTCATTTGATGTTTCTTTGCAGCTAGACCCCTTAGTGTGGTAGTCTTTTATATTGCTCTGAGCCTTAACATTTGAAAACTGTAACAACTTAGGCCATTTAACTTGTGTGGCCTCATCTGTAAAATGAGAATGTTGACTTAATGATCTTCAGAAGTCTCTCTAGTTGTAAATCTTTATGAATTCATAAGCAGTGTGCTTACTTCTATCACTGCAGTCTTATAGGTGAGAGAAGGGATTTTAGAAGTTGAAATATCATTGATGTCTAGGTTGATAATACCAGTATAACTTAAAGTTACATATTTTAACCAGCTTTGTTTTGCTTGGCTCCAAAGCACAGGTGCAACATCTTATGTGTTGCTGCTAGACTATAAGCTTCTTAAGGACAAGGTCATAGTCTCCTGAGTACCGGACAGTGACTATCACAGAGTAAACACAGTAGTGCTTATGGAATGCGTGTATTAGGACATATGTAGGGCAAGGTATTATGACATAGCTAAACATGGTTCGTTTATTAGTGACTTTTTAAAATATTCTTTATTATGCCAAGTTTTAAAAATGTGTTAGAGTAGACAGAATAATATTGTCTTATTCCATTGTTATGCTATAACAATATCAGACTTGTGGCTTATAAATAGCAGAAATTTATTGCTCACAGTTTTGGAGGCTGGAAGTCCGAGATCAGGGTGCTAATGTGTTCAGTTTGTGGTGAGGGCCCTCTTCCTGGTTGCTGACTGCTGACTTCTCCTTGTGTCCTCACAAGGTGGAAGCGTGAGCTAGCTTTCTGGGGTCTCTTTTTTAAGGGCACTAATCACAATTATGAGAGCCCTGCCCTCATGACCTAATCACCTACCATAGACCCCACTTCCTAAAACCATCACTTTGGGGGTTAGGATTTCGACATATGGATTTTGGGAGGACACAAACTTTTAGAGCATAGCAAATATAATGAACCTTCATTTACCCATTACCCTGCTTCAGTAGTTTTGATTATTCATGTTTTACCTTTATCTCTCCCCACTCCCCAATTCTTGTATTATTTTGAAGCAAATTACAGACTTTATATCATTTAATCTGAATTGTTCCAATGTGTATCTCTCAAAGATAAGGACTTTAAAAAATCATAGCCATATCTTTATCACACCTTACAGAATGACTTGGTTTTGATAAGTATTAAGTTAATTACATTTTGAAATAGCTTTACTCTATAATTCCAAGAAACCTTTTATGTGGCACTTCAACACAGATAATAAAAACACTTAGAAACAAAACAATAGGACTAATTTTTGTTTTGTTCTGTTTAATATTTAGGCTATCAACATGACGGCTGAAGAAACAGTGAATGTAAAAGAGGTCGAAATCATTAAGCTAATTTTAGACTTCTTGAATTCAAAGAAGCTTCACATTAGTATGTTGGCCCTTGAGAAAGAAAGTGGAGTCATAAATGGCCTATTTTCAGATGATATGCTTTTCCTGAGGTATGATTTCATTAGTACTGTGAGGTTTGTAGCTCCTATAAAGAAATGTTAAGTATTAATAAGGTAATATGTATAATACAGGTAGATTTTTATTCTTATGAAAAGGCTATGTAAGTATTATTTTTAAAAATGTTTGTCTTTATAATGCAACATTTGCAAAATAGTGTTTTCTGTAGAATGTTCTTAGTAATAAGATCTAGAGGTTAAAAAAACAAGAATTACAACTACATTGTGGTGTGGCATCATCATAAAAAATATTTGATTAAGAAAGCAGAGATTCCAGAAAGATAAAATATTTCTGAAGTACCATTTTTTTGGCCTTTAGAAATAAAGCATACTCATTATGTAAACATATTCATTATAGAAAAATAAAGAAGAAAAATCACCCCACCACCAAACACACTACTGATGATTTTCTGTGCATATTAAAAACATAACAGCAATTCTGTTGTTTGTAATTTAGTATCTGCTTTACCCATTAACATCATAAGGATTCTGTGTGATTACAATTTATACTTAAAAAATTTTCAGTTTCCTTAATTTCCTAATGGTTCCCCTATTTCTAGACAATTAAATTGTTTTCAATTTTTCTTAAATAAATGCCCTGAGCAACTTTTGTACAAATTTTCTGTATCTTGGATTATTTCCTTAGAATGAGATTCTTGGAGGTGGAGTTGCAGGGCAAAAGGGAATTAGCATTTTTGCCAAAATGGAAAGCTAAATATATCCTAACTTGAATTGGACAGAAAAAGTAAAAACCCATATTTCTAGACAGAAATGTATTTCATGCTTATGTGATACCAGATATCATTGACAAGGAGTACAGATTCTTGGGCATGTGGCATTTTGTGACTTGAAAAGCCTCAAGAAATGAAGTGTTCCTAACTCATGAAAAAGAAACTTTTTTTTAAAGCTTTATTATAGGAGGGGAGTTTATTTAAACTCATTGGACTTCCCTGTATTTGGTGTTAGGAATGTCATTGAGCCCAGGGATCTTAGTCAATGATATAGTCAGGAACCAGTACTGAGGCAGTGTTCTTTGGGCCTGTTTTTCAAAATTGCTAGCCTGGAATTCAGCAGTGGCTGTCAAATAGCCCCTCCAGGAACCTGTTGGTTTCTGATGAAGTTTTGCTGGTCTGAGGTGAAATGCAAGGAATTATAAAATAGTTAAGTTTTTCATTAAACTAAATGTATTAATCTTAAAGGGCTGGCCTTTGAAATTGTGTCCTTCCTACCTTTTTAAGTATTAAAATATCCCTTTATAAAATGATTATGATGTATGTTTGTTTTTATTAATATTCCTTCTTTGCAGAATTAAAAGTTGGCAACCCTTTGTAGAGCCTCCTGTCCATCCCTTCCTTTTTACATTTTACTGCTCTAAAACTCCCAAAGTAGGGAAATTACTGTTATAAAAGAAGAGCAGCAATAAGAATGCCTTGTAACTTTTCGAAGTTCCCATAACCCACTAAAGTAGGATGAAACCCGATCTTGTTCCTTCCTTGTTTTCAATCTCAAGAGTGTAAACTTTAGTATCAAATGCCTGAAAGATACAGAATAAACAATTTAGAGCAGGATTTCTCAACCATGGCACAATAAATATTTTGGGCCATATAATTCATTGTGGTGTGTGTATTTGGGGGCGTGGGGGTTGTCCTGTGCATTGTAGGATGTTTAGCAGCATCTCTGACCTATACCCAGTAGATGCCAGTGGCATCTATTCTGCTTTTAATTAGTGTAACCCAAATTTGATAACATACATGGGCTTTTCTTTATATAGGCAGCTAATCCTTGATGGTCAGTGGGATGAAGTTCTTCAGTTCATTCAGCCTCTAGAATGTATGGAAAAATTTGACAAAAAACGGTGAGATTTCATCTGCAGTTTCTGGTTTCTTATCATTGATAGAAGCTTAGCAAAATAAACAATGTACAAAATTTTTTTAAAAGACCATTAATTTTCGTGGTAAATAGATAGTATACTCAATCCCATTGATTTTGAGCACTTCCAGAGGACAAGTTGCATGTACTTCAATCATTTGAAAATCTGATATACTAACCTACTTGGTTAACAATGTCTATATACAAAAATTCACAAGGGGCATATCTGAAGCAGTTGCTTCTTCATAATAGTATAAAGATTTTAAAGATGTCATTCCATTGTCTCCTGGCCTCCATTATTTCTGACGAACAGTTAGTTGGATGTGTTTGTCTCCTTATTCTCTTGTGTGTACTATTTTTTTTGTCTGGCTGTCTTTAAGATTATTTTTGATTGAGGTATAGCATTATGTTAGTTTCAGGTGTACTACAAAATGATTTGATATTTGTATAAATTGCAAAATGATTACCACAAAAGTCTAGTTAACATCCATCTCCATACATAGTTACAAAAAAGACCAACTTTTTGCTCACCTCTTAAGCTGGTAAAACTGCAGCTTTCTGCTTGAGTTATAGCTCACACTGTATGGACTGGGGAGTGCCTTCAGCTGGAAGGCCTTATACCCTTGAATATTACCCCCTAAAGTTCTCTTTTGTCAAACATTGATGTCTCTTTAGTTGTGCCAGCTTTTTGTTGTTGTTTGGTGCTTTCAAATAGTTTTTTTTAATTTTTTTTATTTTATCTAGGGTTTATCATATTTATCTGCAGAAAGGTTAGCCCAATACAGGTGACTCCACCATTAACAGAACTGCAACCTTATATTGTTTTTTGATTCTCCATTCATATTATGTTATTGATACCTGTTTGCTTTTGTACATTCTTCATTTATTGGAATACTACTCCTTTTACCATCTCCTGCTTTTACATACCACACTCCTGATCATCTTCCAAGAATCAGTTCTTTTAAAGCTTTCCCTTTACTTCCCACCCTTTCTGGTAGTATTGGTTTCACATGCCCTCGAGACCCTGCTGAACCCTATACATATTTCATACAATTTATTAGATGGCCCTCTTTTTGAAGGCAGGGGTTTTGTTTTATTGGACACATATTTGCTACTACAACAATGGTTGAAAGAATGACCAAAGGTTCACTGTTATTTTCTTTCAGTTCTTAGAAACACTTTAAAGTGCTTGAGGCATCCAACATTTTTTGACTCTTAGACAAGTCAAGTAGATTCTTTGCTCTTTTCTCTCCCTGAAAAATCCCTGTTAAAAAGTTTTAAGTGTATAGTTACTTTATGACTTTTTAGAAATGTTGTACATTTCTCCTTACCCTTTCAGCCCTGTTTTATTAGAACTCTCTTGTGTTTGAAAAGAAAAAAGGTCATATTTTGGGAAAACAAAACATTTTGAATATAAAGGATTTTGATTTTATATTAGGTGATATTTGACATCTTCCATAAAAACTTGACATTTGTTTAGAATTAATATTGGAAATAGAAATCCTTCCTTTGAATATTAATTTGGGATTACTGACTATTGAAATTATTTTAATTATGGCTTCAATGTGATAAACTTCATAAAATATTTTAAGAATTTCCTGAAAGCAAAGGTACTTACAGTAACTTATAAGTACATTTGATTTATGAGACATTGGAAATTAATTTTGCTAAGCCTTTTTTAAAAGACATAATTACTTCTTTAAGACATACTTGGCCTGTTTTGATTCAGGAACTTGAGTTTCATTTCCAGTCTTTGACATTGCTATAATTCAGCTTTTTAATCATTTTAATGTTTCATATTTTATTTTTCACAGGTTTCGTTATATTATCCTGAAGCAGAAGTTTTTAGAAGCTTTATGTGTTAACAATGCAATGTCAGCAGAAGATGAGCCCCAGCATGTAAGGTTTTTATTCCTGAAGGTTTGCGCCATAGTCTTGTTTCAGTCATAAGTATTTTATTCACTAAAACAGAAGATTAGTATCATGAGTTTTTGAACTTCTTATGAGCCAGGATGGGGCAAGATCTGCTTTTCTGCAGATGTAGTGTTTTCAGTCTGTAGTGAGTCTAAATTTGTTCCGTGATTTATGCAAAGATGATAAATGAATGGCTGGTTGGTTGGAGAGTATGTGCTTCCCTCCTGTTTAAGGTGATTTAGATAGCAATACATGTTTGACTTGATCACTCTACATCATTGCTTCTTTCTTATCCCAGAAGTGAATTATGTTTTCCTCCTTCTTCTGTCTTATTTCCTTCCAGAGGTGGTTTTTTGATAAAATGTTTGTCTCTATGATAGTTTAAATTTAACAATATTCAATTCTTTTTTATTAGAGAATTACTTTGACAGTTTTACTATTAGTATTGTTACATCTAAAACCAATGAAACTTTTAGTAAGTGCCAATAAGTGTTCATTGAAATAAACCAAAAGGATATTACAATGGGAACTTTCATATATAACAGAGAAGTGTTTGCCAGGTAATGATGTTTAAAAGTGGAAAGAACACTGGAATATAAGTCAAAAGACCTAATTTTTATTCTGTCTTTGTCACTAATCAACTGAATTACCTTGGTTAAATCTGCACCCTAACTTTTCCCATTTGTAAGATATAGAAGCTGGACTACATAAACTCCATAGTTCCTTACATCATTAAAAGCTTATGATTCTAAGATTAATATTCACTATACAAATTCTTGTAATTATTCTCTCAACTGAGCTTCCTTTTGTTCTGTCTCCACACTGGTTTTGTAGTAAACGAATTGTAGATGTTCCTTTTCTTGATTTGCTTTCTTTCCCCACACAAATTTTCCTCTTGCAAGCTTCTGAATGGCTTTTGCTTTTTTGGTAAGCTGGAATGATAGCGAACTTTGTAAACATTTGAATATTGGTATGCTTCAGTTTTCATTTCTAGAAAACTCAGTTATTCTTACCCTTAAAAATTATACATTTGGGCCAGCCGAGTGGCTCAGTTGGTTAAGAGCGTGAGCTCTGAGCAGCAGGGTCGCCGGTTTGATTCCCACATGGGCCAGTGAACTGCCCCTGAACTGAGCTGCAGTTGAGCTGCCAACACAGATGGCAGGATGGCTCAGCTGGTGAGAGTACGTGCTCCTAACAACAAGGTTGCCGGTTCGACTCCAACATGGGATGGTGGGCTATGCCTACCCGCAACTAAGATTGAACACAGCACCTTGAGCTGAGCTGCCACAAGCTGCTGACGGGCGGCTGGGTGGTGACTGGACTTGGAGCTGAGCTAGCTGCGCCCTCCACAACTAAGACTGAAGGACAGCAACTTGGCTGTTCCCCTTCCCCAATTCCCCCCATCAGTTTCCCCTTCCCCAATTCCCCAATAAAATCTTTAAAAAAAATTATACATTTGATAAAAAATAAACAAATCTAAAAAAATTATGCATTTGAAAATGACAGTCTTAATCCTGAATTAGAACACTGTTTTTATAGATAAAAGTTTAATGTGCTAATTAATGAGATTATTTAATCTTATTTTAGTAGTGAAAAACATTTTGGTTTCTGACTTGAAGGTGGTTAAATATCTTACAAATTATATGGGTATTCAATGACACTAGAGTTTATCCTTTTGCAATTGAATAGCTTATGAAAGTTTGTAAAGTATCTTTGTATTTGAATGAACCACTCTAATTGTTTTCATAACTCACAGCACCTCTCTTTATGGTGATCACTTATGTTTTTCTTACAGCTGGAATTTACAATGCAAGAAGCTGTGCAATGTTTACATGCCCTAGAAGAGTACTGCCCTTCTAAAGATGATTATAGCAAACTCTGTTTGCTTTTGACTTTGCCTCGTCTGACCAATCATGCCGAATTTAAGGACTGGAATCCCAGCACTGCACGAGTTCACTGTTTTGAAGAGGCTTGTGTCATGGTTGCTGAATTCATCCCTGCTGATAGAAAGTTAAGTGAGGCTGGTTTCAAAGCAAGTAACAATCGTTTATTTCAGCTTGTAATGAAGGGTCTACTTTATGAATGCTGTGTAGAATTTTGTCAAAGTAAAGCAACTGGAGAAGAAATTACAGAAAGTGAAGTACTTCTTGGCATCGACCTCTTATGTGGTAATGGTTGTGATGATTTGGATCTGAGTTTGTTGTCATGGCTTCAGAATCTCCCATCTTCTGTCTTCTCTTGTGCTTTTGAACAGAAAATGCTTAATATTCATGTTGACAAACTTCTGAAACCCACAAAAGCTGCATATGCTGATCTTTTGACTCCTCTTATCAGCAAACTTTCTCCCTATCCATCATCTCCAATGAGAAGGCCTCAATCAGCTGATGCCTATATGACTCGCTCTCTGAATCCTGCTTTAGATGGCCTCACTTGTGGACTAACCAGTCATGATAAGAGAATCTCCGACCTTGGGAACAAAACTTCTCCAATGTCACACTCCTTTGCTAACTTCCATTATCCAGGGGTACAAAACCTCAGTAGAAGTCTCATGCTTGAGAATACAGAATGTCACAGTATTTATGAAGAATCTCCTGAACGGTAAGTATTTGCTCATAAAATATTAGGAACTTTCCACAAGTGTGAGATAATCTTAATTGGCGTGTGTGTGTGTTGTGTGTGTATGTACCTATC